TAGAATGTATGACCGAGCCCATCAGGATGAGAAATCCCTTGTAAAATTCATTTGTTACACTTGCCCGAAACCATAGTAGGAGGACATGAATCAGTAGAATCAGAAAAGCGCACTGCTCAGAAAGTAAATATTTCACTGCGTTCATTCGCTTTTTTCTATCGTAGGTGACTAAATGAAGCGTTGCAATTGAAACACTACATCATCAGTCGTTCACAGTGTTGTGATCATCAATAACAGTGGCTTAATTTTTTCTAGCAGCTCTTTCCCGATTTCATTCCGATTCTAGGTTCCTCGTCGATCCTGGTAATCTTGGATTCTCCGTATTGGTATTCTGCCTCGAAGCATGCGCCTGTATCACAGTTATAGTATTAAGAAGAGGAAAGCTCGTCGGTGGAGAATTAGGAGGACCACTCGGATTTAGAGTATGATCTTTCGAATCATTTGTTGTGATCATTATCAACTCCCATAGTCATAGTGTCTTTGCTCTTTGCGTAATATGATTATTCAAAAAGACGGTTCAATACCACTTTTATCACATTAATGACAATGAGACTTTCTTAGAAGCCTTACTTTCTTTAAGTCCTATTGAATTTACTACGTAACCATAAGTGAACTTTTACAAACGATTCTGCAGAATATCTACTGCACAGTGTATACATGTGCCTTCATCTATGTATATGTATATATATATATATATACATATATGCATATATATATACAATATATATGTATATATATGTATATATATATGCATACATATGTATATATATGTATATATATATATATAATATATATATATATATATATACAACACTCCGGCAGTCAGCAAGAACACCCTATGGAGCGCCACAGCCAGGCTATCCTCGAGATTGCAAGAAGACATGCTCGTCCTAAATTCTACGTCATTGAAGAAGACGAAAAGCGAATCGAATGGTAGAAGTACTGAGGTCCTCAAAATGAAAATTGTGATGACGGGTCGCATAAATAGGTAAATATATAAATAAATATATAATTCGAGTAGCCTATTCAAAAACCAGCCTTTATGTACAGACTTTACTACTTCAAATGTACGTTTACTTTACAATATTTGTATGTACTTCAAAAACAGGCTTTGGACATTTTGAATCTATTCATTTTACTTCTCACCATCGAATGTTTCGGCTTTACGGCTTTTTCATCGCGTACAAAAGTCATTTATGTACCAAAGCATTCAGGAGTGTAAAGAAAATTATAGAGCATATAGGAGGGACATGGGACATAGATTAAAAACCGAAATTTTTCAAACAGTTGAGAAAACATATTCCGTCGTATACACTTTTGATTGCTCTTCAAGGGAGCATGTGCGCCTATAGAGGGCCGAGTGAATTTTGATCCTCAGCGCGAGGTCGAAACCTCCATCTAAACACTATACGACAATAAGTCGACGTACGCCTCAGCCTGTATAATGGATAAAGAATAAAGCTCTTGGCGTTGATCAATTACTGACGGACGTGCCATGCAATCGTCTTCAATTCTAGTTTCATTCGAGGTAATTTTATGCATATTTGGCCGTTACAATGACTCGCGGTGATATCCCGCTATGGAGTCAGTGCTTCTTATTCTCCCAGACAAGTCTGCGATCACTACAGTACCAATACACAGACCTCAGTGAGATAAGTGACTTCGTGAACCATGAGCGCATTATCCAACTATCAAGCTTGTGTGCGACGCAGAGCACCTCTGACGACTGTGCCACATGAGCTCATTTAGCCTGGATGTGCATGAAAATGAAGAAAGTCTCAATCATCATTTCAAGACGTCCGCGAAGAAGGTGAAGTCCTCAAGCAAGCGATGAAAGTGAAGAGGCGAATCAAATGCTGGAAGTACTGGAACCACACAGTAAAAAATGTGATACGTGTCATTAAGATTATAAAGAAGTGAGACTTGCACATATATTTATATTTTTATATATTAAACATACATACATATATATATATATGCATATGCTCTGCAAAATGATACGGGAGAGATCACTTATGGTTGCGGCAATAAAATTCCATAATACTCATACAAAAGTGAAGCTTCTACGGAAGCTTTCTTTTGCGTGGTTTATTTTTGTTTACAGAAGTTTTGGTACCTTTCTCCTATCCGCACCTATTCTCACTCCAATGTAAAACGCGTTTTTTGCTTTTTTGCAACTCTTTGATACTCATTCTGTAGCTTGAATCTCGAAAATCTCAGCGCTGCTCTTGATTTAAGAATTAACGTAGTGAAAATAGAATTATGATTTACAATTTGACAATTATCGCTGGAGAGCTCTTTTCTTCTAGACTTACAATGACATTCATGTAGCACAAATCTCGACAATTTGCATAGTATACTTTGTATCTGGAAAAGACTTTTCAGTGCGTTGTTGCAGCCAGAGGAAAATTGGGTTTCACTTTTGGAGCGCATATCTTGTCGCCTAGGGTGTGTAATCTTTCAAAAGCAAGGTAGACTGATGCCAATATTGCAGAATCCCATGCACATAGCGGAGCGAACATTGAGTTTCTCATGTGAAGTGCAATTTTATGTCCACTTTTGCACCGCAACAAGAAACTTTTAAGAAAAATTTAAGCACGCCTTCATAATCGTCGAGATTTAAGCTATTAAATGATTACTGAAATTTAAGTATCAGTCATGTTATGTTATAGTTATCACTCAAAAAAAAGTTGTGTCGAGCAAAAAATACTTAAGTGTGTTTTATAATTTTATTCTTACTGTCACAGCTTAGTAAGCAAGCCATTTAAAAAGTGCACTATACTTTATGCCGTTGAAATTTTTGAGATTTAGGCTATGTAATGGATACTAATCTTTATAGAAAAATTAAAAAGTCCTCTCAACTAACTAAAAATGAGTGCGGATAGGAAAGATGAACCGATGTTTTTCTCTGGACTAGATTATGGTTAAATAGACGACTGAACTGCTGAAAAATGACATACAATGTTGTTCACATACCTTCTTTCTGATAGTTATATATTGATTTGTTACAAAGTAAGAGTTGAAGAACTCAATTATTGAGTAGACGCTGCTGAGTTTGTGCGCTGTTTGTGCTGAGTTATGCAAGCACATAATAGTTTCTCAGTGCAGTTTTCAGCTTGCGACCCCTCTTCTGTTTGTAACAAGTCTCTAGATTTGTTAGAACCACTGATAGCCCCAGATATAAGGAAGAATTGCTGGCTGAGGGAAACAAACAACTCTGTCATGCATTTCTCTGCTTTCTGAACCCTTTATTTACACTAGCTCTGAGGTTTTTAGACGCAGCTTCCACAAACACTTGTTGTGTGATACCTGTGCTTATTTTGTCATAGAAATTGTCATCCATTGCTTTATTTCATGAATTTGACATTACCAATCACGGTGACAATAATCTCACAATTCGAAGCACTTGAGCCAATGATATTCAATTATTCAGGTCCTTACATCTACGTTCTTCGTCTGTTTATGGTTGTTCTACTTGACCTTATCAGCACTTGAAGCGTACTGCATCATAAGTTATTGACGAAACAGTATCAGTCTAGGCGATGTTCCAGCCGATCTCACTTCTTCGGCTATCTTACATATGTATTTGTTATTTGTGTCCTTATTAAACCGATTTTTAAGTGTCTTATTGTGGATGCAATTTCCAACGACTTTTTTTTGATATAGGTTGAATAGGATTGTCTTACGTGTACAATGACCAGTGCTTATAATCGTCGTTGATCAAATATTTTTTGTTCATTGATGTTATTTGTCATTTATATGGTGCCTTTAGGAAATCTGTACCAAAAATAATGGTATGTTTTCACCCAAGTTTTTTAGTTTTTGTTCTGAAATGGACATCAGAGCAACCAGCGATGCTTCTCGCAGCACTCCATGTCCAGCTCTCTCGCTCCAGCTGGAAATCATTATGAGAATAATTAGTGGACTAAATCTCTACTGAAAATGGTCTCGCATTCTCTTCTCGGCTTTGAGCGAAGTTTCATTATTTTCAAGGATACAGGTGCTTCAAGACAGGTCGTGTAGAAAATAGTAAGCTCTTCATGAGTTTTGTGCTTGCTCTGATGTCTCATTCCTTTAAGAATTCACATGTGTAGGACCATCTTTAAAGACCTGCCATCGCGCTCCTAACGACCCAATACCATTTCCCTTATTGCAATTCCTTGAACCTTTCCATTCATTGTTTTTGATGTTGATATAATTCTATCCGGCCTTTGCATACGATTTGTGATTCAGATGTTCGAATAAATATTTATTTGTTTAGCCAAGGGACGTGAGCTTATGTGACTCGTATCTCGCCAAATAAATCTGCATAAGGATGAAGCATAAAAGTGTGTGGCTTTGATGAATCCCTCTGATAGATGCCGCGAAACAAAAAAATTTTGCCGTGACTGAATGCATATTTAACCCTTACAATCAAACAACAGTATACAGGTGTATTAATTCGGCACTTCTATGCTACCAGAGAAGTCTAGTACGAATTTTCCAATCTCAGAGGAATGGAAGCTTTGGCGCACTTGTCACGCGATTTTGAACCAAACCACGTATGTGTTGCAAGGCCTCTTTGAGCACTGCGTTACACGTAGCTTTGGCTTTATATGATAGAGTAAACTGCAACTTCAAACTCTTCTTTTACTTCTCCACAAACTTTTTTTTATCAAGGGTTTTACGAGGTTTGCTACTACATCTTAGCGGTATCGCACACCACATACTGAGTAACAAAGGGAGAAGTTGCCACAGTGCCTCTCAAGTGAATTATCGCGTATTGTAACGTCTGCCTTTCAGTCGATGTTTCGCGGCTGCTACCATGAAACATAGCCTTTTATTCGACTGATTTCTAAAAGTCTTGAAAACTTGAGGGTAGATATAATACTCAGGATTTTAGTATTTTTATTGCTTTTTTGGCAGTGTTATGATGTTCCATATATAGCTAAGCGAATTGAGTGGTGAGCAAAAATACGATTGTTGGTGGCTGACAGCTAACATAGAGATGTTGAAGAAGTGCCTCAGTGGTGTAGTGGTAGCACGCATCCCCGATATGGATGGAACGCGGGTTTGACTCCCGTCTGAGGCCGAAGTTTTGCTTACCACTCAATTCACTTAGGCATATATGAACTACAATGTATCATTTTTCACCTTTACATTCGACTTCTTTTATAGACTGCGCTCAAAACAATAAAGAATCTGTTTACATATTCTGAACCTTTCATGAGGTCTGTTATGGCACTTATACAGCGCTACACACGTGTTTCAGCATTACAGCCTCATCAGTAGCACGGTACCTTTCAGTTCATACACTCCCTTGCAGGAGTATATATCCCTTACATACAAGGAAGTCTACGCTAAATCGATTACAAAATCACCACATGTCAGGTGATAAAATCCCTCGACATAACACTGACCAACAGTCGACCGTTCAAAGTTGGTAGAATGAATTATACCTTTTTGTTCGACTACTTTTATAGACCTTACTGATCCGAAAGACACCGTGCTACAGATGAGGCTACAATGCCGAAACACACATCTACCACTGCATAAGTGCCATAACAGACTTCATGCAGACTCAAGATTCGTTATCAGACTATGCTCACTAGATCAGACATAAACTTGCTGATTAGACTTTACACCTGTTAATGTCCACATTCAAGTAAATATATTCATGTAGCTCTAGCATTTTCACTACAAGAAGGTATCAGTTTAAAAAAATATCCCTCAATAGTTTAAGCAATCAACATGATTGGCAGTATCGAAACTTGATGTACGATAAGAGCCTCTCGTATTTGCAACAATACAAAGTGGTCAGCAGCTCGTGGAACCTTGGAGCGTCATGGAACGACTCTGTGAGGTTTACAGACAAGAAGATTTAGAACCCAGCAGCAGCTGCTATGAAGAAATGTACTTCATATTATACCGCGGTTCTCCGAGGAACACAAGCGTTGAGTAAACATTGCAAATCTTTGCAAATATTTTGAAAACACTAGAAATCAACAGTGCTGTATTTTCCAACAAACTGGAATAATATTTGAAGACAAATTAGGATATGAGTGGGTTAGATTAGCAAAAAAAAAAACGAGTTTTGCAAACTACCCTAATTGAGATAAGCTGCTCGTCGATTTCTTATGCAAATTAAGTAAGAACTTGCGAACAGCTATGTATTTTCAAAAAGCTTTTAGCTTAGTCAGTTTTGAAGAAAGTTTAAATATGCTCGAGGTGGGAAGAATACGTGAGTTCTTCAAGTTCATAACTCCATCAAAACGCAAATCTTGAAGTAGTACTGGTGATCGGCAGTTGCTCGACAAGGGTATACAAATTTCTGTTCTTACCAGTGATACAAAGCCAGCGTATAAGGCTTCCACATAATTCTTCACTATATTGGAAAAAATGATCTTTTTGCTATTTTTATCTATTGAATATAATGAACTCCTCCCAATAGTGGTCATGAAGTAACTGTGGTGATGATATTTGACAGAAACAGTCTCGTTGCTCTTTCTTAGTACCACAGGAATGTAAACAAAGTAAAAAACAACTTCAGGTTTCTTGATGCTTGATTAAGACTTTTCATCTAGCGAGGACCTGTTTAAAACGTTATATTCCCCCTTTTTCCCCAATTAGGTGGTTGAACTGCTATTCCGTTTCTTTCCTTTTTTCACAATTCTTTTAAAATTGGTTGGATGCAACAAAGCAATATAAGGGCATCCTATCGTGTCGAATTTGGTTCAAATGTTCCCTATGTACTTAGATAGCTATCTTTCAACATTGCTGGTTGAATCATTCTGAATTTCGTATCTCAACTTTGTTGTTATTGATATCAAAGCTCGTACGTCCAAAAATTGCTCAGCTGATGACAAAACTGCATCAACGACCTGCGACAATCGCAGGCTTGAGACCAGTCGTAGTACTGTGAAATCTACTGAAAGTGAAATAAATGGTAAACGCCCGTAAGCCTTCATATATGTGGGACAAAATGTTCAAGAGGTGTATACAGTTATGGCTGCATTCAACAAATGCCAAGAGAAGAAAGTTGTCATAGAGATGTTGAGGAGAAAGATAAGCATCTTAGTGTGCAGTACTCAAAGAAATGATCGAAAGTCTGTGGAGAGGAGGTCACCATGAAGTAGTGTATCGTTTGTCGGACTGATGCAGTAGCATACTGATGTGCTTAACCCATAACGTTAGCCCAATCAAAACGTCACATTAAAATCGCTACTGAGTTAGCAACTGGTAATCAGCTTCGACGCGGCCAACTTTTTTCGTGAGATCATCGTTGTATCGTTCAGCTCATGCAATGAAACAAGAGCTCAAATAAGCTTAAGGAGCTCAAAAAAGATTCCAAAGATCCATAATTACATAATCTAGCTACGCTATAATGTGCATGGAGTTCGATATGACCTAAGTAAATTGATGTAAAAATCTTCAGCATAATAAAGAGTTGCTTTAGACTGCATAGCAACACCTTACCTGACGAGCAGTACATTTAGAGAAAACATCCGCTTTCTATCAAAATCATAAAATCAGTCCCACACCTACTCATATTGTAGCCGCTTTGAAACCTTGCCTTTGTACTAACTTGTGTGCCATTGTTTCTATGACAACTGGTACTCAATCTAGACTTGAAATTGAGGGAAAGTGGGAAATTTTATGCAATTGAATTAAATTTGGACCTGTAAATCGTTCGTATCGATGACCAGGAAGATTTTAAAGGGCGTAGGCTGAAACTTTGATTGTGAAAATCTGCCAAAAGTGAAAAAAGTGTCGAAAATAAGGCGGATCAAAAGTGATCTGTTCCCATTTTTAGACAATCATGTGATGTTAACAACAGTAATTCCTCAAACAACAGCACGAGCTCTTGCACGAAAGCAAATTGTGAGTGAAACAGATGAGGATCAGATGTTGCTGATTATCTCCACCAAGCTCATTCTTTACTGCTTTGCGTAGCTTTGTTGAGAATTTTCTCGATCGAACAGCTTACCTTCGTCAAAGATTCTGCACACAGAAACTGAGAGCATCCCATGTAGGACAAAGGCGAAGGACCCAGATACCTTGCGGAGTCAAATAACTATTGAAAGTTTTTGATTGCTCTTTCGTTCTTATTAGTGGAATAAAACGATTTAACATGGTGAATACCAGCGAGATCATCACAACGACAAGTACTGTTTGTCAGTCGAGAAGATGCAATCAAAAACAGCTGCGTCGGTTAACAGCTCTGATCAGCAGTAGAGGCCAATCCTACAGTATAGTACTGATTCTGTCAACGGAGATTACTAATTATGTGCAAATTTAGAGGGAATATGTTTCTATAAAAGTAATTGTGGTTTCAGACCGTGTTGAAACCGCAGTCACTTCACAAAATTTGTCTCAAATGGCAAGAATGATAGAATGTCGACGTTGACTTCCTCTACAACATCTCCTGTATCCTTAGGAGGACCAGCTTCTATGATTGCTCTTCCCATGTCTTCTAATGACTTCCCATGGCCGGTCACTACTTTCTTCATCTTCATGAATCTACAAAACTTCTCAAAGCACCACCGCACCGTACGTTCATTATAACTTCTTAGGCCAAATGTGTTGCTGATGTTGCGAGTTGTCTCACCTATTTTATGACCCTTTTTGAATTCGCGCTCAGAAACGTTTTATATTCCAGAATAAATATAAAAAGAACAGCAAGTGATACGTGATGAGGAAAAAAAACGACGAAGCAAGAAATGCTCCTTGAAATGATATGTAACAGATCCTTATTTATTAAAGAAGATAGCACAATATCATGCTGCACATTTCAATAATGCTCGAATCACAATTACTTTTGTATCAACCTGGTAAAATTAACAGAATTGTAACGGCTGGAGTTGTGTGGAATTTGGAATTTGAGAAATGCACAGTGAAGAGAGGCGGTTTCTGATTATTGTAAATAAAAGGTGAAAGTGTTTTTAGCAGAAACTTTGAAAGGCAAAAAAGGTGTTCCTGAATAAATGGTTTACAGCATTAGTGTAAGTTGAGAATACAGATTGTGAGTGTATATTCCTTTCAACGATTCATTATACTCTTAACGAATGTATACCTTATAAGCGTCGAAAGGTACTTTTCCGTTATCCGCTTCCGTTTGGATCCCTTAGAAAAAGAGTTTTCTAATTTTCCCAGAGTTTTAGTAGTTCTTCGATTGCCTAAATCTCAAAAATTACAACAGTGTACTTGGCAACTTCTTAGTACGCTGTAGATCCCAAATGAAGATTAGGTTTCGCACTCGGCGCGCACTCTTTGTTCCGACGTGGGTGGGATGCCGCAACATTAGCACAGAGCCACCACGCTCTTTGCAATATAATGGTTATTCACGAAATCTAATCTCTTTCGGCTGCTACGACGCTCTAAAAAGGCTATTTTAGAAATAAAGTACACTGCTGAAATTACCACAATTTGAGCTATCGAGTGACTACTAAGTTTGCAAAAGAAACTATAAAATGCGTTTTCCCAAGAGGTCGAAACAGAGTGTGGATAACAAAGTGTTTTGAACTTGCAAAACCCAATCTTCTTGTGGCTGCTAGAGTGCACTACTAAATTTTTTTGAAAACCAAGTATGTCTCTAAAATTTTCAAGATCTGAGCTATCGAATGATTACTGAATGTCTAAGAGAGAAGTTTTGTCTAGCGAAAAGTGCTCGAGTACGAAACATAATTTTATATTAACGATTACAGCGCAACAAAGAGGCTCTTTCGAAAATGAAGTACACTCTGAAATGGTTCGTGGTTTGAGTATCGAATGGCTACTAAAACCTTGGGCCTAAGGAGAAAACGCGTTTTCCTGAGGAGGCGAAACGCGGGCGGAAAGGATAGGATAGGATAGGAGAAAATTATCCGCCTGGACATTCCCCTTTATAAAATAATATTTGAGTTTCTTTAGTGATTTCTCATTGCAGCAGTGTTATAAAATGTCATATATCTCAAATTTCGATGTACTGATACAGTCCGCATTGTGGTACTCACTTCAGAATCCCAATCAGAATAAGTTGGTGGGAAAAATAGATTCTTCCAAGGTACTAGATTCTTCCTATTCAACATGACTCGACTTCAAATATTTCTCAGA